AACAATTTTAAAAAAATGACAGCAAAAACGTCTCTGTACATTTATAATTTTTTATGAATTACAGAAACAAATAGGACTATATTGGAGAAAACCAGCCGGTCCTCGGATTCGTCGAATTTCGAGGTTCTAAGCGGAGTTCATACCCAGCGGTGCATTCCTCGGCGAGCAGGTCGACGGGCGGCAGTGACGACAAGATACCCGCCGCCACTCCGGACACCGTTCAGTACGCCGAAACTGTCCGGATCGCCGCCTGCCTCTGCACCCTGAGCAGAGCTTTACGGTTTTTGGACGAATACTCAAGAGTATCCGCCCAAACCGGGGACCCGTACAGGGGGACCGAGTGTAAGACGCTGACTAAAAGTCTTAAGCGGGATCTACACCCCAAGTACGGCGAGCCGCGTAGGAGTGAACTTGTACCTGCCCGTGAACAAGACCGCTTCAGTTTTGTCCAGGGCGAGGCTCAGTCCACTCCCCTCTTGCTGGATCCAGGCGGTGACTGTTCATATCGTAGGAGATGACCCGATCGCTAAAGTACGACCAGATCATCCTTCCGAGGTAAGGAGGCACCCGAAACGCGTTTAGCGCTACGAGGATGTGTGACCATCGCACGGAGTTAAACCCATTTCGGATGTCCAGGCCCACCGCCTCCCAGGAGCCCTATTCAGGCCGCGTCGTCCGTGGACCTCTCACTCCTGAAGTCTCGGCCAGACCGCCGATGTTGGCGAGGTGGGCTTCAATCCGTGTGACGAGCAAGCGTTCAAGTATCTTCCCCAAGTTGTCCAACATGCAGAGAAGTCGGTACGACGAGGGGAGACCCTCGGGCTTGTCACCTTTTCTCAGAAGTACCAACCTGGCCTCCTTCCACTTCATAGGGAATTCACCCTCCAAGAGGCAGCGATTCACGACGGCGCGAATCCAATCCGGGGCGAGATCGTTTACCAACCCCCACACCCAGTTTGAAATCGCGTCGGGGCCAGGAGCAAAAGTCAGTCTACATCCGAATCCCCTGATGCAGTAACTTTAACTCCATTTGTTGCCATTTCATAAATATATATGATTTGAGGGGGTTGCCCTCATAGTCAGTCCCTCCGGCCAGTGAGCGGCTAACTTCACTGGTTGCGTTTCCATAATTCTCCGTTCTCACCCAAACGCTACCGCTTATTCGTCCATAAAGGCTTATTTCACAGCTACCCTGTATATCTGCAGGGCTAACAAGCGTTTGGGTGGCTCGCTGTCCGCGACCGCTTATTCGTCAGCCCAAATTAATGGACTGCTTATTTCGCGGCTAACCTGCATATCTGTAGGCCATTCCTCTATCCGCAACCTGAGGACGCGCCCGATTCCCCGAGCTAGGGTAACTGCGCTCGTGCCGACGTTTCGTAACCCCGTAGAGCCCGATCCAACCGACACAATAGCGCAGCGCAACGGGATGCCTAGTCACCCTCGAGATACCAATTTAAGAGTTTCGTCGTCCGTTTTGCGAACAACTAACTTTTTTTCGAAGTATAGAAGTTAATATATTTTGTCTTAGCTTTTTTTTTTTTTTGCCTTAGTTTTTCTATTAAACATTGTTCTGTCACGAACTTCTTTTTTTTTTTGTTGTCATTATTTTGTTTACACGTCATTTAAAAACGGCTCGACACCACCTACTGTTATTTACAAAAAGGTGTTAAAACTTATTGTGTTCCACACACGTCGCTCCACCATTTCACCTCCAACATTGTATATTTATGGACTTTTGTACTTACGCAATTTGATTAATAAAAAGGGACCACCGAAATTTTTACTTCGTTAACCTGCTTGTACCTAACCTCCAAGGCCCTCCAGGACCTAAAAATTTTTTTTTTTGACTTAATTTATATTAATAATATTTTTTCTTTAGCTGAATAACTATGACATCAAAGCAAAAATACGTTTTTTAACTTGCCAACAATCTATTTCATAATTATCTATTACATTTATTAGTTTCTCTGAACTAGATGATATATTTTTCAAATAATTATTTTCCAGTTATCTCGAACTAAAAGGTACATTCGTTAGTGAGATATCAATAATATAAAAATATTTGGAAATTTAGTCTTATAATTAATTTAATATGAGACGATAATTAAAAAAACCAGTACACTTTGGACGAGTTGTAGTGGAAACCAGCATAGTATTAAAATCTATCAAATCGAGAATTTTAACACAAAAATAGAATTTCGTTAAACTACGACAGCCATTTGAACATAAAAGAAAGGTGACGGATAATTTTTATTTTTTAACATATAATATGTAATTTATTTATAGTAAGGTTTAATTTAATTAATGTTAAAAGAACGTATACGTCTTTTAAACATTAGTTCCAAATTTTTCAAAGTTAAGTTGAAAAACAAATAACTTTTATAAAAGTTTTTGTTTTTTGTAGGGGGGTAAAGGGTTAGATTAAAAAAAACCCAGCACAGGGGGGTCGCGGCACAGTGGTGACGTGGTATAGATGGATCAAGTATAATGATATCTGACAGTGATTAAAATCACTATAAAAAAAAAACGCTTAGATGCAAATCTTTAGATACTGTTTTATTTTAAAAAATTGGTGGACTATTCCAAAAGCTACATGATCTGCTAGTTCATTATTAATATCCTAATTAAGATAAAGTATGTAGAATGAAAAAGGGATTATTAAAAAATATTATTTCTCATAAAAAAATAATGTTGATCCATACACTTTTCAATATGTCATAGCATTATAAAGTTAAAAATGTAAAAAATAAAATCGAGAATTTTCACACAATAATAGTATTCGGTAGCCATTTTCACCGTGAAGATAAAATAAAGTCCGAAATTTTTTTTTACCATTATAAAGTATATTACATTAGCTTTAATTTAAGATATATATAAAAGTGTCAGACCTTCCGGAACACTTTCAAAAGTTACGTTGAAAAAGTTCTACTTTCTATATGCATTTTTATGTTTTGAATCCCCCCTGTATTTAGGGAAATGGTCCGATTTAAAAAAACAGTATGTCGAATGAAAGATCTATATAAATACTACTTCTCATAAAAAAATTGTAATGATTCATACATTTTTCAAAAAGTTATAGCATAATAAAGTTAAAAATGGAAAATACAAAATCGAAAATTTTCACACAAAAATAGCATTCGGTAGCCATTTTCACCATGAAGATAAAATAAAGTCCGAAATTTTTTTTTTTCATGATAAAGCATATTACATTAGCTTTAATTTAAGATATATATAAAAGTGTCAGACCTTCCGGAACATTTTCAAAATTTAAGTTAAAAAAATTAATTTTTTGTGAAAAAGTTGTCATTTTAAATCCCCCCTTGTGGGCAGGTTAAGGGTTAAATTTATGAAAAAAATATACCAAACGAAAGGTAATGATATTACACATCTATATAAAAAAGAATTATATTGATATGTTCATTTTTGAAAAAGTTATGGCACTTTTAAGTAAAAAAAATTGGAAAAATTTCGAAAATTAGCGATTTTTAAATTTGTAATTTTTTTGGAGGTTTCCCCCATTTACGGGGAACGAGGGCATTTTTTTCAATTTTTGAGGGTAATGTCTTCGACTAGATACAATTTGTGATCTTTTGACGTATCATTGAAAGAAATTGGTTCTGTGAGAGCTGAGAAAAAGTAGTAACAGAAAAAAAAAAAAAAAAAAAAAAATAAACACATCTTAGTAAAACCAATACCTTCTCAGCTTCGCATCGAAGCTAAAAAATAATAATAATAACACATTAGAGTATAAATAAAAATGCTACCTCCTTAAAAAAGACGCCTTAGGCTATAGTCTACTTAATCGATTCTTAAATATGTAACTGGATACATAGAATTATAATATTACTTCTAAATTTGTTCTTTTTTTTATAACTAACATACCTTGGAATACTATTATTAAAATTTCTTTGATTCGATATGCTTTCTGTTGTAAAGTAAACGGATGATTCAACTGGTGAAACTCCCAAATGTATTTCATTTTTCCCTGGCAAAATAGGTTTACTAGGCAAACTACTATAGTTATAAACAATTTATCAAATATATCTTTGGTTCATACATATAGATTCGAGGTAAGATAGGCCCACCGAGAAACTGGGATTTTCTCAGTGAACTCCTCGGTCTAGCAATCATAACCCTTCTAACTGGGAACCCAAACTTTTCTCTTGTATTTTTTTTTCAATGATAAAAATACAGAAATAATTCAATAAGCCATTATGATGATCAAAAAAAAAAAAAAATTTTTAGTTGGGATACTATCTAATATTTCCCTATCAATGAAGAATCGTCAATCTGCCCTTTTATGGATCTGATTGAATTACAGCGATCGCTATTACACCAATAAATAATATACTTACTTTGAATTATTGTTATATCTTTTTAGAATTAAGTGACGGGTAATTTTTTTTTTTATCAGAAAATTTTTTTTAATATTTTTATTACCCATTTAAAAAAACTAAGTACAACACCATACTTTAATAATAATTTTAGCCAAAATGCTTGAAAATATTTCGTACAACTCGCGACAGGCGAGAATTGCAGATATTACCTAAATATCTCAGACTATATGAAATATAGTTTGTGTAAATATTAAGATGCTGGATACTTATTAGTAGTGATGGGGAATATCGAATAGTAACTATCGAACCATTTTATAGTCATTCAAAAAATATTCGATAGTTACACAATATATTCGAATAGCTTATGCTAAAAATAAAATATTCGGTTGTATAAAAACAATTCGAATAGTTATTCGATAGTTTAAAATATTCGAAAATGTCTATCACTACTTATTAGTAATTATTTAATATTTTTAGAGAGATTATATAGCGCTATCTATCTAAATATAATATAAAAAAAAAATCGGTTCCCAATAGTCTGATACTGAAGCCTATATATATGTACTTAATTTGTGATATTGTTAAAGTTATTGAAATTTTTGTTTATTATCATTTATTCGTGTTCATTATCAGTAAATGTTAAAACAAAATACTAATTTCCTTTTAAAGTTTTTTCAATAAACTTAAAAGTAATGTAGTAAGAATACATTGAAAAATTAATTGCAAGAACAGTGTAATTATCTTATATTTTTATGAAATTTCATTTTATATAAACCCATCCTAACACAACCAAACATAATTTATTGATGAATAAAACTCATTTTGTGTGTTGTATTAAAATTTTTTTTTGTTTCCGTATTTAATATAAAAGTTTTAAATATTAAATCATATATTTCTTTTTATTTACAATGGCTCTTACAAATAAATTACTACTCAGTCAAATTGCTGGCTATACAATAGCTACAATTCTTTCACTATGCATAATTATACCTATGAGTCTTCATCAAGATGAATTTAAGTAAGTTGATAATAGTATTTTGATTTATAATTATACTTTATTATCAATATTAGATACAAGTGTGGTAATTGTAAATGTTTTTTATTTAGATAAATGCACAAGTTTTTATTTTGAACTTATATTATAATAGCAACATATATACGGGCCAGACTTTTCAATCTAAAATAAAATATGCTAAATATTCTAAGATAAAAAATGAATTTACAATTCCTCCATTTATTTAAATTTACCTTACATTACCCTTTATCATATGTAACCATAAAATTATGAGAAATCTAATTATTTTCAGAGGACATTGTCTATTATTTTCTTCTGGTCAATGGTTAGAAAAAAATGGGCAGTTTCTTGTTAACTGGGCTTCACAGGCATATTGCAATTATTCTATTTTTGTTGGTGTTTTATTATTGGTAATTTCTTCAATTCAAACTTACAGAATGTCTATTTTTGCTTATAAAGGAACTGACAGGTAATTGCATTAAACATTTGTTCTGGATAGTTAACTTTTAAATTAAAAGAGTTTAATGGCAAATAATAATTCTTAGTACAGGAAAATCAAAGAAAAGAAAATTATGCTACTTTTTCTGATTACCTTTTTTGTTCTTCATATATTTTGTATGAAAATAGCTTAAAATTATAGCTTAATAATGAATATGTGATTTATATGTAGAGTACAGATTCATTTGTATTTATACATTTTGCTAAGTATTCCAAACATATCATCAGTTTAAAATAAGGATGGCTGACCCAGAGTAGTTGGGATTAAGGTGAGGTAGAAGAAGAAGAAGAATCATTTTATAGTATTTCAAAATTTAAAATTAAAATTAACTCTTATGACAAAAAAATTTTTAAATGAAGCTCCTGAAAAATTTAAAAAAATTAATTTCCCGACAAACCTCTTTGTCTCCTGAAACAGAGTTTATTAATATAATTTATTATATTAATAAATTGTATTTTTAATTTTAAATAACCTTCATAATTAAAATTATTGTATAAGTTTATATTTAGGAAACTGTGTCAATAAATGATACATCCTTCAGGTTTCACCTCTATAAGCATGTGCAGTCTTATGTGTCTGAAGCAGCAAAGACTCACACAAACCTATTTCCTATATTAATACATTATTATTCTTTACAAAGAATTAAATTTAAGTTTCATATTGATTTCTGAGTGTCCATTCTTCTGAAAATTTCATAATTACTTTATCTATCTACAAAATTCTTAATGCTTTTTTCCAACACCAAACTACAAAGGCATCTATTTTGGATTTCTGGACCTTTAGTATGGTCCATGTCTCAACTTTAATTTATTACTTTTAATATTATGATAGGTCGCTGCTATGGCACGCTAAGTTATTAAGTCTATGAAAAGTTATGGTGTAACTAAACTATATGTAATACAATAAGAACTTGATAAGAAAATTAATAATTTTGGCAACTTTTTAAATATGGGAACATTGTGTTCCCATATTTATTAATTTTTATCCTCACTTTTCCCCCACCTTTCCAGCTTATACTTCATTTTTGATTTTACAATAGATTTTAGTTTATGTATCTAAGAGTGTTTGGTAAAAATTTCAAAACTTTCCTTTTTAAGTTATCAAAGGAAGTCCAGCATATATTTTGCACCAAATATATTCAAAACTAATCATTTTGGAAATTTAACAAAAAAAAAAATTTAGTACCTTATTAATGATAGTAAAATTTATGCTAAAAACATAAACATACTTAGAATACCTGAAACTACTTTTTTATACTTATTAATACTTTCAAAATGTTAAAAAAAAAATGTTAAAATATTAAACATTTTAAATTTTAGTACAAATATTTTAAGTCCTTCAGTTAATATAAGGAATAATTATTATATTGTTTTTATTTGCAGTTCATTTTTATTAACATTTGTGGATTCTGTAACATGTGGGCTAATGTGTCTTTTCACAATTAATGCAGCTCTTATAATAACATTTGGATTTATGACATGGTGTAATGATATGATTGAAAGATTTCCATCGTAAGTGTATTTAATTTTTATTTTTAAAAGCTTCCAAAAATCAGGTGTAATTTATTCATTTTATCCTAAAATGTTATCACTCATCAACATAGATAATTATTGTATTCTATTCTTAGAAATAGATAAATGTTTATTATCTATATTAATGGTCCTCAAGATCATTTAGTAGATCTTATATATTCTGTCACAAGACCTTAGATCATAATAGATTTATATACTATATAGAATAGTATTATTTTATAATTATCAGAAACTGATTTGAGTTTGTTATCTTGCTACAAACCTTTACTATTATAGTATTATTTTAGTGAGGTTAAGTTAGTTAATTAGTAAGTAAACAACTAATAGTTTGGAACAATTTTATTAGTGTTTGAACTGTTGTTGAATAAAGTGTATAAAATTGTTAATGATTATTATAGCAATATTCATTTATAATTCTTCTTCTTCTTCAGCTTTTATAGGCCATTAAGGTCCATCACTGCTCCACACAGCCTCTTCCATTCCTCTTAATCATTTGCTGATTTTCCACTTTTTCTACCTTTTTTTTCGATCTACTCAATGGTCTCTTGCCTTCTGGTTTCCAGTAAAGCGCATCCTTCATTATGCTATTTGATCTCTATACATGTCCAAGCCAGCCTGTTTTTCTTTCTTAGAGTGTTTGTATAATGTCCTTTTCTCCTAACAGGTTTTTAATTTCCTTATTGTATCTTATTTCATATTCACTTGTTTGATCATTTTTTTTTGGGACCAAAAATGTGTCTTAGGAATTTCCTTTTTAGAACTGTTAGTTTTCTTTCGTCCTCTTTTGCCATTGCCACGTTTCTGATGCGTATAGAATTACTGGTCTAACTAAAACCTCGTATAATCTCATTTTTAATTTCTTTGATAATATCCTGGATCTTCAGGTCCAAGATTTTCTGTAACACGAAATAACATCTGTTTCCACCTTTTACTATCAGGTTTATTTCCTCATGGTAATTATTGTGACTATTTATATACACTGTCAGATATTTAAAGCTTTCTACTTTTTCGAAACAATAATTTTCAATGTCTAAATTTCTGTTTTGGTGTAGTTGTTTACCTCTCTCAACTACCATATATTTAGTTTTCCCTTCATTTATCATTTGCCTCATACTCAGCGCTCTAGTTATAAGCTCCTTTGTGGTGGTTCATTTGATCCAAGTATCACTACATCATCAGCATAGGTTAGTAATGCATGCACTTTTTCATTGAAGCTGACACCATTTGCTGTTTTTTTAACTTTTCTAACAACCTCCTCTAGGGCAATGTTAAATAGCGTCGGTGACAGAGCATCCCCTTGTTTTAAATGACATTTATAATTCATTTAAGAATAAGTGTAATATCCAGAACTTTAATTATATTATTGTAGTTATTCGCAAAGTTAAGTGTTACTTCAATTGATTTTACAACTTACAGTCCTCTACAACACATTACATTGTCTCATCCTCGTTGTGGGACACGACTATTTTATTATAACTCCTAATCCTATTAAATATAATTGTTACATTGTAAACCTGTATTATTAGAAAACTGTACTGTATGTTACATAAATGAGTTTTATCAGGTATGGTGAGATTTTTATCATATGTTTAATTGTTACTGTTCAGTTGTTGTTAAATGTCACAAATGTTGTTGGATTTGTGGTTATTATTTTTTTTTAATTTATTTGCAATTGGTGAAAATTGTACAGTGAAACCCAATTATATATTAACTTCTACACTGTGAGAAAGTTGATGACTTGCGCGAAATGAAAAAAGTAGACAGTTTTTCGAAAAACGGACGACGAATCGATAATGGTGTCACGAAGATGACTAGTCAGCGTATTATTGCGGCGGGTATTCGACGCTAAGCATTTGATGGACTTTGCATCACGACGATAATGCGTGCGTGTAACGGTCCGATTTACAGTGGNAGTCAGCGTATTATTGCGGCGGGTATTCGACGCTAAGCATTTGATGGACTTTGCATCACGACGATAATGCGTGTGTGTAACGGTCCGATTTACAGTGGGGCCGTGGCTGAGAAGGAGCTGACACGACCGCAGGATGTCAAACGGGTGACTATGCTGTGGCCGTGTCAAATCCCCCCCCCCCCCATCTAGCCGCCGTTCCATTGAGAAGGCCGATTGAGCAAACGCATATGACGTTTGGTACTTATGCCAAATATATCAATTTTGCATAACACGATAAAAGAAACCGTAATACTTACGTTGATTGTTTAATGGGACGGGTGGACATGACCCAAGTAGGGCGAGCGAAAGGGGGGGATATAGTTCCTGCGCATATCGTGCCTAGGGATGTCGGTAAGGATTTACTTTGCCAGGGCTCTGGCAGTGCTGGGGAGGTGGGGTAGGAGAATAATAAGTCCATCTTCTTTACTAGGGTGTCGTCCTCCAGTTCCATTGGTGTCTCCGGCTGTGGTGACTGGCGTTGTCTGAGGTGCCGGAACCACCATCCACATAAACACCCGACGGTCTCCTGACAACATTGAACGGAGCTTGCGCGGATTTTGATGTCGCTGCTGCTGTTGTTGTTGTTAGTGCTGCTGCCATCAATACCGTCGTCGGTGTTGTTATGATTTGTGTGAGGATAAAGGTCCTCACCGTCGACAACCCCCCAACGTCTAAGCATGTACTCACGGTATTTCTTCGTCGGAGTTTCGTAGCACTTCGGGAAGGGGAGCACGAGCTGCATCATTCGCCGAAAGTAGTACGCGTGGAAGAGGGTCCGCCGGGAGGCCCACCGTGCCCGCTAACCGCTAGTCGGAATTCCTTGACGGATAAGGGAGTGGCGTATGAGTTGTTGTTGTTGCTGCTGTTGCTCATGATGAAAAATAACAAAAAAAAAATTCTACTAATTTTGTTTTTTCATACATGAGACATGAATTTTCCTTGGTGGGGACTGGTCCGTTAAGAACATACCTTTACCGAGACGTTCGGCTAGTCTGACAGGGCCCCACCACTTAGGCGCAAAACTAGCATAAAATCGTTTGTTCGCGTTCCATAGGTGATGCGTTTTGTAGTAAACAACGTCGCCCACCTTGTATTTTGTTTTGACGTGACTGGGTGGCGGTGTTATTTTTGTGTTGGTGATGTGTCGTTGGCGCTCTAAACGGTCGTCGTTGATAGTAGCGGATGCTATCGGTTGTACCCGCTGAAGTAGCCAGTCACCCGGTTTCTTACCTTCCCTACCTAAGACGAGTACGGGCGGTGTGTATCCGGTCGTCTCGTTACGCCTATTGCGTAGGGCGAACAATAAAGGTGGTAGTTTTGTGTCTCAAGATGTGTGACTCGACTCAGTTAACAGAGCGCAAAGTCATTTTTTTAACTATTGGCTTTTGCATTCTATCGGGTTAGCACGTGGATGGTATATCGGTGAAGTCCAGGCCTCTGCCCCCCACCGATTTATCGCGTCGATCATTTCTTTGGACACAATCGCACGGCCGTTGTCGCTTAAAATTACTCGCGCGTAACTGTAGCGTGAGAAAAACTCCCTTTCCAACACGTTTACAATCGTTTTCGTTGTAGGCGCACCTATGGGGTACGCTTCGGTTCATCTGCTAAAGCAATCCGTTACTACTCATAGGTTCGTTTGCTCCTAGGTGTCCTGGGGTACGGTCCAATCAGGTCGATATTTATTACTTCCTACGGCTGTCTGAGTTGGCGCTTGACCATATGGCGCTCGGGTCATCTGGGCGCCTGTTTAGGGGCTTAGTGCACGCGCAAATATGGCACGATTTTACGTACATGCGTACGGCGTTTCTTAACCCTTTACAGTAGAACCGTTGTTTTACCACTCGGTGCGTTCTCTCCATCCGGTGTGATATGGCAGGGGTCGTGGTGGTACCACCAAATTATATGTTGTAATTTGTCAGTGGGTACGATTACGGGTGTGTCAGCGTCTATACGAATATGTAAAATACCGTCCAATAAAAAAAATTCGTCCTTATTTTTCACGTGCAGTTTTTCGTTCGCTATGATGAATTGCACGTTTATTTGTTTTGTGATCGAAGAGAGAAACGGGTCGTTGTTTTGTCATTCTCGTACCTCTCCCCCCGTTAATGGTCGGTTGCAGATCGCGTCGTTTGCCTCGGTAATGGAGTAGATCTCATCGAGAGTGGTGGTGAGTGCGAGTGGACTAGACGTTGGTGCGCCTAATAAATTGTCATCCAGGGCGTCTTCGTCAATAGGGGGTCCGTCCGTTGGGTGACGTGATAATATGTCAGGCGCTTCGTTGTGTTTGCCCTGCACGTGTGTCGTGGTAAAATTTAGGTTAGCGCCCAGCGGGTCAACTTACTGTTTGTGCCTTTTTCTTTGTGTAGATAAGTCAGCACTGAATTATCTGTGTACAATTCGAAAGGGGCGTACTCTAAGTATGACCTAAATTTATCGGTTACCCATATGATCGCTAGACATTCGCGCTCGACAGCGGCATAATGTTTTTGTTTATCCGACAGATTCCCACTCGCGTAAGCTACGATATCCTTTTCCCCCGGTTTTTGTCCGTGTTGAAATAATACCGCCCTACGCCTAACTCACTAGCGTCGGTTTGTAGGCAGAATGTTTTTGTGTAGTCGGGGGGAGAGAGGCGTGGAAAGTCGCATATTGCCGATTTGATGTGCTCGAATACGTGTTATTGTGGTCTTGACCACGACCACTTTCTTTAATAGGTGGGTGAGAGGGTCGATGCTGTCCGCGTAATTATCGACAAATTGACTATACCAATTATTTACCCCTAAAATTTTTTGTACATCCCTTATATTGCGTGGGACTGGAATATCGCGTATGAACTGTAATTTTTTCGGCTCTTTGTCTATGACTAGCCCGTGCACCCGGTGCTTCAAAAAAGAAATTTCAGAGAACCCGATTAAATACTTTTTTGTGTGGCGTGTTAGGCCGTGACGCATTAAGCGTTTAAGAACCTTGCTAAGGTTTTCTAAATGTGTTTCGACACTGTCCGAAAAAATTTAAATATCGTCCAGATAGACTTGAACAAAGTCTTCAATGTACCCCCTAAATACTTCGTTCATTAAATGTACGAAGATCATGGATGCATTTCTAAGTCCGAACGGAAGCACACAAAACTGAAATAAGTCAATAGGAGATTCTGGTCCCTCTCGCTTCACCCACCCAATCATCCGTTTACCTGTTGGTACCGCAGACAACTCATCACACATGGTCGGTGCGCACCTATTCGAATGTGGAAAAATCTAGATATTTACTTATTGCAATAGGTAATGAAGACGAACACGTCTTCGGCGATTTCAATCACTGTTCATTGAGAAACGTTAAAGCGTATCTGAACGCTGACGAGTACCCGTACGAGAACCAAAACGCTGATTTCGACAACAAGTACAAAACGTTTTACAACTTGTACGCACAATTCCAGACAATGTATTACGGTCGTAAAGACCTCTGTCCTTTATTGGACTATATAAATTACAAAAAACGTGGATCTTTAGTCGTGATTGATTGTTCTAAGCAAAACGACACCGTCAAGTCTTTAACAGTTGATCTACGCTTATATTTCGAAAGTTCCAAACAGTTTCCCGATAAAATATTATTGAATTGTGTAATTATTCACGAATGTCAAATGGAATACAACGCATTCACGGGTGAAGTACGAAAACTAATGTATATACAAATGTATTTTTATTATTGTATAATTTACAATATAGTATAGAAACAAAACAAATGTATAAATGTATAAATTTATCAATTTTTTTTAATAAAAAAACTAGTTGTTTTGTAAATTTATTATTTTATTCCCATCATCTTCGAATTTCATTACAATTTTTACGAAAATACACGTTTATATATAGTTTTAATATTTTGTATGGCGGTTTTTAGGAAATGGTCTAAAGTACAGCGTCACAATGCAATTTTTTTAAGAGCGAACGCCAAATGGCTTAAAACGCCATCAAATAGGAAAATTTGTTCCAAACCTATCGATTATTACCGACCTAAAGTCGATTTTACTGAATCTTCGGAACGTTCAAAGAGACGTAAAATAAACTCTGCTCTTACTTTAACTACAATGACATCAACTGAAATTTTATCCGCTGCAATAAAATTACAATTTTTACAAAAATACACGTTTATTATAGGGAAATTCTATGTGCACAGTTCAAATGCAATCTGACGCAAAATTTTTTTTTTTTTAATTGTAGCTTAAGAGTTCTTCTACAACATGCATGTATTGGTGTAATCGTAATATTGCGTAATTTTGAGTTAAACTCTTTAAAAAACAATGTAAAATAAGTATTTGCATTTTTTTGTGTGTAAAAAATTATTAAAATTAAAAAAAAAAAGAAATAAAAATTTTTTCTTAGTAAATTTGAAAGCCGATGACTTTTTAAACATTTTAAATTAAAAAAAAAAAAATTAAGGTTTTTAATTAAGCAGGAAAAAATGATTGAAGAAATAATAAAAATCCTAGAAAAAAAACAAAAAAATACAGTGTTATGATATTTAAATAGCACTCAACCATTACTGTATCAATTTTTGGCCTTGAATTTTTGTACATGACCTTATAAGGATATAATAAAAAAAATTTGCTAAAAAAAATTTTTTTATTAGTTGATTTAAAAATGGTACTTTTGGCCGGCTAAATCAGCGTTTGGTCCCACTGTGGGCCGTGCCTCTGTGCAAAGGTTTGAACCTGTTTTACTATGATATGTAGGTTTTTCTGTGATTTCTGGTAATAGCATTTACAAAATATATTAAATATAAAAAAATAATAATTAAATAAGTCCTAATTATGAATACAAGTATTTTATAATATAGTGGATTATATTTTTTAGATGTGAAATGGCAGCTGGTAATCCAATTGATATTCAAGATGGAATAGATACTTCAGGATTTTATTTCCAATTGGGTGTTGCACAGGTATAATCTATATGAAATAAATAATCTGCCATATAAACATCGACTAAAGTTGACTTTAAAAATATTAAACGATACAATATATTTCAAGTTGTATAACTCGTAATTTAACAGGGCCATTTTCATGAATTTTAATAGAAATTTCAAGCTTTGAATTATCTAAAAAGTTACGTATATCAATGTGTTTTATTATTTTTTTTACTTAGTAGAGTTCATCAATGATTATCATAATAGTCTGATTACAAAAGTATTATATAATGTTCTACGGATAAGTTATTTTACAAAGTTCTAGTATTTTTAGTTTCTATGTTAAGCTATAAATGTATTGATTTTATTATGGTGCGTTTATTATTTATTTTTTACAACTTTTATTATATTCAGTTTCTACCTGATCAATACTATCAATCAATATAATAAACATCTTGATTTAACTAATTAAACCCATCCTAAGACAACCCTTCTTCTAGGAATCATTGACGACTCTTGAATGTTTTTCAATATAGACTAAGGTTATGGGTTCACAAGTCAACTAGATATTTTATGACGTGTAATCACGAATTTCAGACCCAAATAATTCTCAAATTTGTTTATTTATTAATTTTTTATTTAACTGAATTTGACAGTGAGAAATATAAATTTTAATTTTAATCCATTTGAACAAAGTGTTAATTTCATAAATATTTAAACCTCTTAAATGTATAACATAAGTGCATGACTTACATTTAAATTATATTAATTATCTGTAAACATAAATATAGGAGAGATAAATTGATTTTTCCTTACCTAAAAAGTATTAGTTTTAATTAAAATTTCAAAACTGTAAAAAATGGCCTGAGTAAACACCTTTACATGAGAGGGTACTATTGTTTTTTTTTTAATTTTATTTTTTCTGTGTTTGTATATACATTTTCAACACTTACTCTATCAATTCTGTTTAACAATACATCAAATCATCATAAATTGTACCTAATTAAACCTATAAACATATAAAATTGAAAAAATTTCTTCGTTTTTTGGTAATGCGGATGATAATCCCCAAAAAGTTATTATTGTAGATATCATCAAATATGTTGAATGGAATAAGTTATGTAGTTATATGACTTATATAAGGTTATTATAGTATAATAGTGTATAATATAAAGATATGTACAAGAGCAACGGATCACGTAACTTAACAGATAATAAACAAAGACCAAAAGTATAAAACTATACTGATAACTCTATTATGTGAACTACTACATATATCAAAAATGTGAACTATGTTAATAAAAGTGAAAACACATTCTAAACTATATGTTATCTTAAATGTATTAAAGTTAAATTACTATACCTAGTGTGTTGATTAACAATATTTGTTTATTTTTTCATTTTAAATTGTTATAGCTTTTAGCTTCGATACGAAGCTAAAAAGGTATTAATTTTATTGTAATGTATTTATTTATTTATTATTTTGTTTGTCACAACTTTTTCTTAGTTCTTACTAGACCGATTTTTCTCAATAATATATCAAAAGATCACAAATCGTGTCTTGTTGAAGACATTGTGCACAAATTTTCCCTCGTTTCCCGTAAATGCTAGAAATTCCGCAGAAAATTGCAATTATTAAAATTTGTAATTTTCGTAATTTTTTAAACTTTTGTTTCTTAAAACTAACATAATTTTATCCTATATAAATACCATAGGTATTTCCTTTTCTTTGGGTATTTTTTTTATCTAACCTTTACTTTTCCCTCCCTGTGGGCAAGTAAAGTATTACTCAAAACTTTTGCACAAAAATTTTTTCATCTCAAGTTTTAAAAGTATTCATTGAGTACTGTGTTCTTTAAACACATTTTAAATGAAAGCTTATGTTATGTATTAAAAATTAAAAAAAAAATTTGTCCCGAAGACTTATCTTCTATTTCTAAATAGGTGCCATAGTTAAAACAACCCAGCACAGATTAGTGGATTATTCCTAAAGCTACATGATCTGCTATTTTCTTATTAATATCCTGAATGAAAAAGGGATTATTAAAAAATATTATTTCTCATAAAAAAATTGTGTTGATCCATACACTTTTCAATAAGTTATAGCATTATAAAGCTAAAAATGTAAAAAATAAAATCAAGAATTTTCACACGAAAATAGCATTTGGTAGCCATTTTCACCGAAATTTTTTTTTTTCATAATGAAGTACATTACATTATTTTTAATTTAAAATATAAATAAAAGTGTCAGACTTTCCGGAACGTTTCAAAAGTTAAGTGTAAAAGTAAATTTTTTGTGAAAAATGAGTCATTTTAAATCCCCCCTGTCGGCAGGTAAAGGGTTAAATTTATGAAAAAAATATACCAAATGATAGGTAAAGACATCAAGCATCTATAAAAAAAAATTCGAAAATTAGCGATTTTTAAATTTGTAATTTTTTTTGAGATTTCCCCCATTTACGGGGAACGAGGGAAATTTTTTCAATTTTTGAGGGTAATGTCTTCGACTAGATACGATTTGTGATCTTTTGACATATCATAGAAAGAAATCCGTTCAGTGAGAGCTGAAAAAAAGTGGTAACAGACACAAAAAAAGAAAATAATAAACACATCATAGTTGTTTATAGTTTTAGCTTCGCATCGAAACTAAAACGTACGATTTTTGTAAAAAAATTCTTTTTTATATTTTTAACTTTTTAATGCTATAACCTTTTGAGAAATGTATGGATCAATACAATTTTTTTATTATAAATACTATTTATTCGTATACACCTTATATTCGACATACTTTTTTTTTAAATCGGACCATTTCCCTCGTTCCCCGTAAACGGGGGATATCCCCCAAAAAATTACAAATTTAAAAATCGCTAATTTTCGATATTTTTCATTTTTTTTTTACTTAAAATTGCCATAACTTTTTTAAAAATGACCTAATCAATATATATTTTTTTTTATAGATACCTTAGATATTTACCTATCATTTTATATATTTTTGTGAATATTTGACCCTTTAACAGCCCACAGGAAGGGTTTCAAAATGGTAACTTTTTAACAAAAAATTAACTTTTTCAACTTAACTTTTGAAAATGTTCCAGAAAGACTGACACTTTTATATATATCTTAAATTAAAGCTAATGTAATATACTATAATTTGAAAAACAAAAATTTGACCTCTGGACATGTCTTTGTGGTGAAAACGGACATCAAAGTTAAAGAAAAACGTACGATTTCCGTGATATCGGATTTTATATGTTATATTATTTAATTTATATTTTGTATAACTTTTGGAAAAATGTATGGATCAATATTATTATTTTTTTATAATAAATATTTATTTACCCCTTTCATCTGGCACGCTTTTTTTGTAAATCGGATCATACCCCTTTAACAAGGGGGGTCAAAACTTTAAACATGCGTATTGTTACTACGATATTTTCAATTTAATTTTTGAAAGTATTCCGGAAATACTGACACTTTTAAATATATCTTAAATTAAAGCTTATGTAATATACTTTAATGTGAAAAAAAAAAATTTGACCTCTGGATTTGTCTTCATGGTAAAAATGACTACCGTATGCAAAAATATGCTATTTTTGTGTTAAAATTCTGGGTTTTGTATTTTATTTTATTTTAAAATACCTGACAAGGGGAGTACAGATTTTCATAAATATTATATAAATTAAAATTGATATAGTATAGAAAGTTAAACTTATTTAAATTTGTTTGCTTCTTTTAAGTCGAGAAAAATAACTTTGAAATTTGAACTAGCTTAAATGGTCAATTTTTTCAGTCGTTGGTATCAATAAACGATTGCCGAGTTGGTAAAACTTATGTTTACACGCTTGGGGTACAAGGTTCCAACTCGCGTATGGCAATGAACTTTTTGCATTTTTTCTTAATTTTTTTTAAGTTAGTATAAATTTTTAACTCGTTTGATTTTTATCTCATTTAGATTCAATAACTTCAATAAAGATCAAGGATCCCATTACTTTAGTCGCCCCTTGTAAGAAAAAATTTCTTATTCGTATTAAAATATTTTACTATATTTTAAGTTTTTGCTTCGATGCAAAGCTGAGAAGATATTTTTTTGTGATTATCATTTATTTTCTCTGCTCTAACTTGACCTACTTTTTTCAACGATACGTCAAATTACTACAATTCGTATCTAGTTGAAGATATTACCCTCAAAAATTGAAAAAAGAATTCTAATTTATCAATTAAACAGTTAGTTATTACATGTTCTCCATAAAGACAATTAAAATCATTAATTTCTAATGTTTTCAAAATATTTATTAACGAATGAAGTTTGATATGATAGGTTTCAACTACAAAATTAAATCATTTTACTTTGTAATTTAATCATTTTTTTACTCTATTTGTGTGTGCTACTACTAGACTATAATATTACGAAATTTTTTGTAACATGTTGCTATATAAATCATTTCTAAAAAAAATGATTGTTTTTTCACTTGAATATAACAATTGATTTTTACAAATACAATCAAATTTTATAATACGCTCAATTGAGTAAAATTTTTTAACAACTTTGTTTTNTCAATTGAGTAAATCTTTTTAACAACTTTGTTTTGATTGGTTCATTTAGTTAAAGTAAATCATTAAAATTAATTAAGTTCTCAATATTTCAATTGAAGAGTGTTGTTTGAAAAGATTCTNTCTATTTAAGTTATCTATTACCATAAAAATGCAAAAAAATATTGAGCTTTTCTGATAAATTTACAATAAATAGTAATTATAAAACTTTCTGACTGCATATTGATCTTAACTATACAATTTTTTTAATTGTCATAAAATTTTCTATTTAATTATGTCAATGTCAAACTTGCCAATTGAGCTAAAATTTATGGTAAAAAAAATTATTATTTTTTATTATAAACATTCAACTTTAAACAACGATTAAAAAAATAGGTTAAATATGTCATTTTCCTTATTTTTAACATATTAATAATCAAAATCAGTATTAATTTAAAACAATTTTTTTTGTTCTTAATTATTTTTTTTTATATGTAAATACTATTTTTTAATAATATTAAAACTTAGAAGTGATAGAAAAAGTCTAATTGCACATTTGAAAACATCGCGAAAAGTTGATTTAGAATAGTATATTTTTGTTTCTGATGGAAGTTCCTTGTAGTCCAGTGTATAAAACTTATAACTTTGTTAA